TGGAAAGTAAGAAGAGTGAAAGAGAATTAGAAGACTTTAGTGAGGGGAAAGGACAATAAAAGAAGAGGAATTAAGAAGACAGAAGATAACGATTGACATTGCATTGAAATTTTTGAAGATCAAAGTTGACTGGAAAGTAAGAAGAGTGAAAGAGAATTAGAAGACTTTAGTGAGGGGAAAGGACAATAAAAGAAGAGGAATTAAGAAGACAGAAGATAACGATTGACATTGCATTGAAATTTTGGAAGCTCAAAGTTGACTGGATAGTAAGAAGAGTGAAAGAGAATTAGAAGACTTTAGTGAGGGGAAAGGACAATAAAAGAAGAGAAATTAAGAAGACAGAAGATAATGATTGACATTGCATTGAAATTTTGGAAGATCAAAGTTAACTGTGAAGCAAGTATCTGGAATAGAATTCTGTAAGCCAGAAATGCGATAGAAGAAGCTGTTTGTATAGAACTTATGGTTCCATCTAACAATTGAAACTGTAAAATGATGAGACCTAAACGTCAATCTAGTACTGCGTTTACAGTCATAATGACTCAGTATCATAGCGGAAAGTTCGTCAGAACGATTACCGTGAAAGTATTTATAGAAAAATCACAAAGAATCTATATTAGGACGGTGGAAAAATTGACTGAAGCCGAGATGACAGATCAGGGCCAATAATATTGCAGATTCGTCTTTGGATGGGGAACGTAATTAACAAGGAATTTTTAAGCTATATAGAATCAAAAAGGCATTTATGTCCTCAATCAGAAAGAGGCAGCTGAATGTTCTGGGGCGCATAATGAGGAAAGGAAGCTTGGAGAATTTGAGACTCACAGGACATATTGAAGGCTAAAGGGAAACAGGTAGTAACCCCACCCCTTACAGAGCTCGTGCAAAAGGATGACAGAACAAGGAGTTGAATGGATGGCACAAAGACAATCATAAGAGTTGTAAGAAAGACAGGAAGCTGTGGAGAACCATGATCGATCGCGCATTGAAAAAACACGGCACATTGAAGAAAAATACAAAGTATGTATTAAGCAAAGCCTTCTCTGGCACGGGACCACCATATTAGTTACTGAGGCGTGTCTTTTTAGGGCGTAAGCGACCATTGTTCTCCACAATTTCCTTTCCTTTGTAGCTCTTAGTATTTTTTTCTGTTCGCAATCTTTCCTAATCCCTGTTCTGCCAAGTATTTACACAAACTCATTAACTAGCTTAAGTTGTAGAGTAGGATCCAGCGTGCTGCCTTTCTCTTCTTTATTACCGTGTCATTTTCCTTTTTAAGTTAACTGAGATGTATGATCATTGACCCCTTTTATTTTTTGTCCCCACTCTCTATAGTTTAATTCCTTCTGCACTTCCGGTTAGGTGACCAGAGATGTTAGTTCTCTGGTGGATGCAGGACCCATTTCATTTTCATTTTCAAGTAAGAGTTTCTTAATTTTTGAGTCTGAATGAGTGTGTGTAGCTGGTCGCATGGTTGTTTTTTTTAATTTATCCATGTCCCAAGTTCGTACAGTTAACTGATATTTTTGCCACGATTAAGAAGTTCGAGATTTCTTTTTTTACTGACACAATTTCGTTTCGTTTCTTGTATATATATTTTTATTCATTTTGTAAATATTCATTGTGGTTTTCATTTTAAATGTTCTCCGCCATTACAGGCAAATTGTACATATGGGAACTAGTTAGTTCATAGAGACCTGAGGTATTATGGTGACTGTAGTAAGAATGGTCAGTAAGAAAGTAGTATTTTGGTGCAAGGATTATTGTATTGTTTGTTTGGATTAATGATTGTTGCTAGCTACGTTTAAGATAAGACTGATTCAAAAGCAGTGCCACATTTTTTTTGTATTTATACAAAAATAAAAATCTTTATGGAACCAAATTGCATCTGCAGGCGGACGCCCCTGGCCTTTTTGAAGATAAGTGGTATTCTTCTGAAGACATTTAGTGGGATTATTGTCTTCTTTTGGGCTAATTAATTAAAAAAAAAACCTTCTACTTAGTCGCATAGTGCTCACGTGTGGATACTTCTTTAATCATTAAAATTTTAATCTCTAGGCCAAGAAAAAAATCGAGAAAGTAGAGTGTAGGCAGGGGCTATTGTAAGACAAAAATAAAGGCAAGATTAAAGTTTACAGTTTAAGAGTAACGCCGGGTATATATATATATATATATATATATATATATATATATATATATATATATATAAAGATAGCGATTGATATTGCATTTAAATTTTTACAGAGTAAAGTTGGCTAAAAGGCATGGAGACGGAAGGGAGTTTCACGTCTAAAACAGTAAGAGAAGTAAAGCCAGTAAGACACAAGGGGTTACTGAGTGTGGATAGAATTAGGAACAGAAATATTAATAATGAACGGGGAGGGAACAGAGTAATCAGGAGGACAGTAGATAGCGATTGACATTGCATTTCAATTTTTGCAGATTAAAGTTGGCAAGAAAGCTTGGCGCCAGAATGGAGTTCCACAAGTAAAGTAGTAAAGCCACTAAGACACAAGGGTTTACTGTGTGTGGATAGAATTAGGAACAGAAACATTAATAATGAGTAGGAAGAAGAAAGAGTAATCCGGAAGACAAGGGTTTACTGTG